ATCATCGACTTGTCGACTTGTCGTGTCGGAAGTTTGAAACTGCACATGCGCTATAGTCTTAATCTACAAGACCCTTTCTGTAACTACATGTATTCGCTGAAACACTTAGCACACGCGAAAACAATATTATTTCAAAATTAAAAGAGTTTTAGAAATATATTTTTATAGGTCTGGTTTTTTCTTTGGGTTTTTTTACGTTTGATCTGTCAACACTCTACCTATAGGCCGCGAATGTAAACTGACTTTGTTCAAATTTGGCACAATCATTACTTTCAAAGAAAGCATGACACTCTCGAATGTAAATGCATGACCGAATCACTACTGTCATATTGAAATGTGTGTGTTTTTAAATCTTTTTCTTCGATCGCTGCTTTCCTTGTTTCATGTTAAATGATGATCCATTGGAAGGAACATATTGAGTAAATGTACGTTATCACTGATACGGATTCAATATGTAATAATATTTCTCATGTTTAATCAATTTTTGACATATTATTTTCCAGTTGCATCAAACATCATTGATACCATTTTATTGATTCTGGAATTATTTGTAAAACTAAATAAGAGACGTGGGGGGGGGGGGGGTATGAGGCTTTTAGAGTGTGTTCATAGTTGAAGATATTACTGGGCCTATTTTTACTCATCTAGGCCTCAATCCCATTAGTGATGTCAATGGGAGAGAGAGAGAGAGAGAGAGAGAGAGAGAGAGAGAGAGAGGGTTTAACGTCCACTCGACACAAATTAGGTCATTTCGGGACTAACATATGGTTTAATTTTATTTCAATAAATCGTTTGCGCGTAGGGGTCTTTAGCAGTGGGAGGAAACCGGAGGACCCGGAGAAAACCCACGAGGTTTGACAGGCGACCCTACACCTTGTCACGTACAACCGGGGATTCAAAACCACGCCAGTTGACTCAATGACAGGCTGCGAATCGTTTTCTCCACCTCATTCAAAAAAACTCCTGCAACTATTGGGGTGACGTGCTGCACTATGATAATGCTGTGATTTTAAAGAATGTGACCCGATTTGGGTTTTTTACAATCCCCTTCCCACCCTCTCTTCTGAAATCACTTTTAAACTATAGCTCCAGTCATCTATAAATATTGGTGGGTGTCGTACACATGGCAATGAATGCTTACTTGTTCGATACCTCCCGACACCACTTTTTCTTCAAGGAATTAACTTAGCTAACTCACTTTGGTCCTGCTATTGTAATTCTAGATTTTTTTAATATAATACCAAATATAATTCACTAGTGGACACAAAATGTTTCATTATTTTGAGAAAACAAATAATTAATCAACGTTTTCCTACTATCTCTTTTATATTTATCAAATCTACTACTTAGGCCTATATATGATGTAATGAGTACAGCTGTATTTTTGTGACTTGTAGAAAGAGACTAGGACAATAAGTCGACATCTCGACGTTACGATAAAAATAACACGATGATACGACAGAATTTAGTGTCGTATGATTGCGTCAATACTGTCGTGATGTCGTGTTGTCGCGTTATGAAAAGGGCGAGATTTAAAATGGCCACTATCAGCCACCATACTTCCTTGAAAAACAATAACGTTACTCGTTAAAACTGATGGTACTTGCGCCTGTGATGGAGCCACGGTCAGCAAGACGTTAGTTCGTTAACCTGGAGGGCTCGTGCTCGATCCCTGTGTTAACCAAGAAAGTTCATCAGGATGTTCTAGCGTAGTGCCCCTTGTCAGTGATGCACGACAGAGCACCTGGAAAGGGACAACGAATAGTCGTTGGGGGTGGGAAGAAATAACGTGGTCCCGTTTACATATTTGAGTGCACGTAAAAGAACCCATGGCAGTTGGAATTCAATATATTGCCCCTGTCCAGGCACAATTCCCCTCATAGCCCAGTCAGTGCCGAACAGTAGGACGATAAAATAATATGGAATACACATGAATGTACAATTGCTTTTACTTCTTCATATGGCAGTGTTCTTCATCATTGTACATAATATATTGTATATGTATAGTATATATTTTGAATACAATTGCTTGTAATTATACGGAAGCTCAAATACGAACTGTTTTGGGTTTTTTTGTTTTGTTTTGTTTTTTGTTTTGTTTTTTTTTTTTGGGGGGGGGGGGGTCTTTTCGGCTTACTATTTGTATTTTTAATTTTTGATTTTGAAAAATAATTTCTAATTTCTATTTTTAATTTTGTAAATTAGTTTTTAATTTCTATTTTTAATTTTTAATTTTGTAAATTAATGTCCCCAATGTTATACTGATATGAGCTCTGTGTCATAAGGCCTGTCATTAAGTCAACCAGCGTGGCTTCGATTCCCTGATTGTGCGTGACAAGGAGTAGGGTCGCCTGCCCAATCTCGTGGGTTTTCAAAGGGTTTTCCGGTTTCCTCCCACTGCTAAAGAACCCTATGCGCAAGCGAATTATTGAAATAAAATTAAATAAACCATATGTTGGTCCCGAAATGGCCTGATTTTTGTCGAGTGAACGTTAATCTCTCTCTCTCTCTCTCTCTCTCTCTCTCTGATACTAAAAGTAGTACCAATGCCTTTACCGATGTAGTACAAATACCATTACATTAATGTAGCTATACCAAGAATTAATACAGAGTCACAATTCTTTAGAATACCATTACTGATTATTACTGAGCGACTTGATAACGACTAGATATCAAGCGTAGTCGAAACGTATTTCAGTAATAAGCAGTGGTTGTATTTCACAGTATTGTCACCTATGTATTTCAACGTTCAACTACTAGATTTTATTATAAAATCCCAAAATATTCCAAATTATTGAATTTTACATAAATACTGAAGTTGTGGGAAAATTTATACCAGGATGTACCACTCTAACCGCCTTATTAAATTCCGACTGTAATATCCTCTATCACTCAAATTAAACTGAGAATAGACAAAACTAACAATGCTCACATTCATGCAATATATCAATACAATCTAACGATAAATGATTTAATAGAAAGTCGTTTCCTGTTGCTGGAGAAATTTGAAGATCAAAACATTCTTATGAATCACTTTTCAGAAACCATTTTAAGACTTGATATAAAAACAGGCCTGCTGTCCCATCGTTGGAAAATGGAAGTTTGGTTTAAACAATATTTGTATCCAATAAACTGAATGAAAAGCCCATATAAGTTCTCTCCAAAAGAAAATAATATATAAATCTCATATTTACAATAAACAATATACATATATATATGTTTATCCAATGCAACAGCAAAAAGCATTGGATAAACATATTTAAAAAGTTAGAATCTTTTACTATCTTTTATGTATTGCTGCACAATTTCAAATATATTATAATTGGTATAGGGCTGGTTTTGTAGAATTGTTTTGAGACCGAGTAGACTTGACATATAAAAACTGTCACTTTATGTATATACACGTACCTGATTGGATCTGTGGTTTATATAGATGCTGTATACACGTGATAAATCCTGTACAATGCAAAATAGTATGAATATGGGCATCAATAACATGGTTTAAATTTGTACATGCCACATCATTAACGGAAACGCTGTCTATAATTATCAAACGGCGTGGAAAGTATGGTAAGCTTGACGTATTTATTTCTCTCGCGGTCCAATGTCCATTTCGTAATAGTTATTCAATATATATTATTACATACAAAAATACGTTTTGTTTAATTATGACAAAGCACAATTTATTGAAGATAAACATACATGATACACAACCTATGGGCAAAATCAAGAGCTTTTATATGTCAGTTATTATTGTATGGAGTCGCAGTGGCTGAATAAGTAAGGAACTGGCTCACCAACGAAGCTGTCGAGGTTCGATCACGTGTTGGCCTAGAAAGTTTCCCAGGATTTTCCAGCGTGGTTTCCCCTTGTCAGTGGTGTATGACCGAGGGCTTGGCAACGAGAGTGTCTAGTCGTTCAGATGGTACAAATATCCAAGGTCCCATGTACACGTGGGCGTGCACGGAAAAGAACCCTTTAAAGTTGGAAATAAGGGTGGGCAGTAGCCCGTGTTCCGTGCTGAAAACTAGGACGTTAAACCCCATTTTATTTCATGTCATTTTTGCCAATTGTCTGTATTTTTTTCAACTATATACAAGTACTCGCTATATATTATTGTAACGTCTGTTATTATAGTAGGATCGTTAAAGAGCGTATGGCTCTATTTTTTTTATATATTACATTGGTTCTTTTTTGGGAGCAGCATTGAAGTTGCTGTATTCACAGGCTGGAAAAGCAGGAAAACGAGTTTGGGGTAGCTAAATTTTCAAAACAAATTTCCCGACGGTCCTGTCTCCAAGATCTGTGAACGATTGATTGGAATTCGAGTCAGCCACCTTAGTTAGGTTATATAGTAGATTAGTTAAAGGTGATATATTCATTGGCTAGAAAAGCAGGAAAAGCGTTTGGTTTTTGAATGACTAATTTTCCAAATTTTCTTGGCGTTGGGGGGGGGGGTCTATACGGTAAGATTCGCTCATTCGCCTCTCGCAGACGACCGCCGACGTCATCTGTAACCATGCTGTTCCCCTAACATCCATCGAGCCCGTAAGCCTATGGCTAAACCCCATTCCCCCCTCCGCCCAAACCAAATACCGTGTCCACCGTGTTTTTATTTTAGTTATACTTTAGGACTGATTAACGTTGGTTAAATAAACAAATTATGAAGGATTATATCGGAATGGGCATCCCTTAAAAGTATTATACCTCCATCAATCCCGTACCCCCTCCCCCTAAACCAAATACCGTGCCCACCACTGTAATCCATGTTGATAAATTTAGTTTTTACGTAACATAGTTTTACTTTAGTATACTGATTAACGTTGATTAAATAAACAAATTATCATGGATTATATCTGAATGGGCATCCCTTAAAAGTATTATACCAATCAAACAATCAACACCAAACATGTCTATCCGTGTCTAATTATGTCGCAAGTTTTTACATCCACTCAACGAAAGACGTATACTTCCGGTTGGTCTGCTCGTCTATATATGACAGTTCATACTACACAAACTATTTCCTTGTAACACGGCTTATTACAAACATGTAAGTATAATTTTACTTAATTAAATGGTGTAATTAAAACACATATAAAGCAAGAGCTAAATCTTCATATTGTAGGTCTTAAGCTGGCGATTTTGTGTTGTTGTTTTTTTTATTTTTTATTTTTTTTGGGGGGGGGGGGTATATAAGTTTTTATAAATATATTTTTAGCTTATACTTGATATTTTTTTGTTACATAATATTTATAAAAAGTTATCTAAATTTGTTTTTAATCTTTTTTCACAAATTTTAGTATTTCAATTATATTCCGAATACTATATCAATTTTTGGCAGATCATTTTCCGCTTATTTCTTCAACTTTTCCATCCCGTTTTTATAGTGTTCACGACGCAAAAAAACCCCCAGTATTCCTATTTCAGATTATGGCGACCATGTTGAAATTATCTCTAGCTTTATTAATGTTGTTGGGTGCAGGTAATTTAGTAATTATTTATAAGAATATATCGTTTGTATAATAACTATAACACTAATATATTATTCAATTGTCATGATTACATTAAACTTTGTATCCGTTTTTTGTCACGTATACTTTTTATGGACATAGTTTATACTAGATATATACATATATTGAATTGTTGGGGGCGGGGGCATGTCACGTGACTAGCGTGAAATTACTTTACATGTATACAATATAATCTTAATATGATACAATTTATGGAGCACCTTGTCACAATATTTATGTGCCATTTAAAGCACACTCTATTGGTTTATTATAGTAATGGTGGTGGTAACAATGGATGTATATGGTTGTTATCAACAACCCGATTCGCCATGTTCAAATTTTACTATAACCTGTGAAGTTGGTACACGTATTATATTTTACGCCCTGCAGTACTATACCAAACCATCGATTAACATCTGTCCACCACTACAAGATAAAGATGATTGTAACACGAGTCAATGCTGTACCAGGAATTCTAGTGATAGAAATGAAACTTTCAGTCGGCAAGATAGTTATTCTGTTTATACAGCCTGTACTTATCAAAAATCATGTACCATCACCTCCCCTTATACTCCTAATAGTAATACTCCTTATCATTATGTACATTATGGTTATAATTGTACTCCTGGTAAGTAATCCCATTATTTATATAGTAGAATTGTATATTACATACGGTATCTTCTTAAAAGTACTCCCGTCAGACCTTGTAGATGCGTGCCTCTCTAATCAAAAATAATTAATTGTAACAATAAAGATAAATAGTGCATATGACATACCTTGTGTCCAAAAGATGCAAAATAAACATGTTAATATAATGAATGGGCCTACATATGTTTGTTTTATATCTGTTTTATTGTATATTACTACGTTCGCCAGTTACCGTTAAATTTACAGTTTTAAACAGTTAACTGAGTTATCATTAAATCTATGGTTTTATATAGTTGACTGACGTATATCATAAATGTACAGTTTAATTAGTTGTCTGAGATTTGTTAAATGTACATTTTTAATGAGTTGTCTAATAGTAAGTCCACACAGAATTTACACAAAAACAAATATACGGACAAGACATCATACTTATAAAAACACAAAAAAAAGTGAATGGATCCGGGGGCTAGCCGTAAGGGTCCACTGCGCTGTACAGTGCCGGGTCTGTAGTGACACAGACTTCACTCAAATTTGAAAACAATCAGGAATACAACCCAAAGAAACCATAGTGTAATGCCAGCTAATTGTACAGTTTTAACTGTTTATCTGAGTTGTCGTTAAATGATGTACAAATTTAATCATTTATCTGAGAAGTTATTGTGAAAATATGTAAAGTTGCCGTCGTTAGGGCTGAAATTAGCTACACCTCACAGATAAAAGCACTTTGGCATTATTAATAGTGTGTTGTCCATATAATAGTTGTTATTTATATCTTTCCGGCCTTCATTAGCCCAGTCAGATCAGAACAATGTGACGTTAAGCCCCACTTCATTCATTATTCATGTCTTTAACATGTGTTACAGTGTCCCTTATCTATAACATGGCGACAACAAGTACAAAATCAAGTGAAAATGGTTTTTTGTACCTGTATTATGGAGGTAGAGCTCCACCAGCTATAGATTCATCATGTTCCTGTAATGCAAATGCTACTGCGATTAGTATCCAGTATATCAACTTAGGTGTTGAAACATGCAACAGAGTAAATGTGCTACTAGATTATAAACCTATATATAATTGTACGGGAGAACCCGTGTTTATTCCTAGAAGGAGCCTTAAAGCCAAGCATCTACAGATCAATATCACCCAATACAAGCCCAGTTATGGTGATGCAATATTGATGCTGATCAAAGGTACGATATACTTTATAAAATACTTTAATAGCAATACACTGACTTATCCAATAGAAAAAAATATGACTGTACGAGCGTATACTGTCTAAACAAACCCTGTGTTGGTATACAATTTCCTTTGGTAGTGGCATAAGCGGTTACAAACTGCTATTTAGTATCAGGCATTCTTTTTATATTTATAATCAGGTTTATATATTTAGCATTAATACCAAGTTTATATGATCCGGAATTCAATGTATATTTACTACAGTGTATATTAAGTGCAGCGTCAAGTATATAATTAACATCAGGTTTATATATAGTATCGGTAGTATACACATTATGTATATTAAGTACAATATCGTATACAAACAGTATCAAGAATGTATTTTGTTTCAGGTATTAGATATGTAACAAATAACAAGAATTTGTTTTACATTGTATAATTATTTCCTGTAAAACTACAGTCATATGCTGTTCTCATTAGGTCATAATGTTTATGGTGCTATGTTACCGGGGGTGGGCTGAAGGATATTTCAATTCACGTGTTACGGATTGACCCTGTTCATTGCCCATGTGACTCGCATGAAACAGCTTAATATTCTTTCTAATATGCAATTCAAGGATATAACGTGTCTTTATATATCTGTGTATCTATTATAACAGGAAAGGGTGGTTCAGATAACATACACAATTTGTAAATTTGTACACCAGTTTTCACAATACAATACAAGTGTTACATAGATTTGTTTTATCTGAACCAATTTTTGTTCTTTGTCAATGAATAATTCAAGTTACCATGATTATGTCCAACAAGCTAGATCTAGACTGGTGAACATTAATTCACTATTTGTTCCATGAACCTTTTTACTCTATTTGTAGATGAAAGCGGAACAGATTCGGTGCAGGTGTCATGTGATTGTGATAATGTCGGTGAGTATATATTGTATTTATATAGTGACAATATGTTCAACTAATATTCCAATATTATATTCTGTTTTAAGTTTAGTTTAATTAAGTAAATGAAGTATGTGTATTCGATGAGGAGAACCAAACAATACGAAATTGTAACGTTGATGATGTTAGCAAGGTTGTTTCTTTTTTAGCTTTTGATCATATAATAACTGTCTGGTTTAGGCAACACCGTCGCAGTCTAGAAACCCAGCCTCTTATATTCAGTTTTTCATATTATATTAGTTTGTTTGTCGTATTTTTGTTTTATTATAACTGGTAATAATGGCCTTTATATATATACATAGTACGGGTAACAAATATTGTTACCGTGATTATTGGTGCTGACTGGTCATGTCGTTTCTTATTATAGTAAGTGCTAAATGGAGTAAGTGGTCTTCATTCAGTCCATGCTCTGTGTCATGTGGTAACGGATCTATGATTAGAACTAGAACATGTAACAATCCTGTAGGAGGTGGTGCGGCAAATTGTGGTGGCAATTCTAATCAGACCACGATGTGTAACCAACTGCCATGTTTTGGTTTGTATAGTTATATCTTTCACATATTATGCTCTATACATGTCATTTGCAATTTAACAGTTTGTATGAAGACGCCATTACTCCATCAGAGTGATACCCGATTCTGCACAGTCGTTGATCTTGTGCCGTGCACTTTACTGGCCAACCAGATGAAATGCTGTTTAAAGCTAATTTGAAAAGTCTCGACTGTCATTTCTTTTTACTGGAATATTTCATTTCGTCCATGCCTATCTAGTAAAAAAAGAGAGTGGTTGTCACTTCTATATCTATATTGAAATATGTATAGATTTGGTTTAAGAACATGTTCTTCGTCACGGTCGCTAATTATTTTTTTCTTGCTGTGCTTCGAAATGGACTTCAAATTTTGGACTTTAGCACATACTTTGCCTCATTTCCGTTTTATTTGCAGCATTATACCTGCCGTTAAGTAGCTGACAATGTATAAAATTCTCGCTAGACAATTATAAACCAGTTCCCCACAAATGTGGTTGATGGGTCGTATTCCTTGAGACGATACATTGAACAGATCTGTTTAATTCTGAATGTATGTGTACCTTTGATAAGCACGGTCTTGTTTCTTCCTTTGTCAAGGATATATTTCCATTAATTAATTAGCTAGTTAACGAGCCAACGGGCGGAGGACCCGGAGAAAACCCACGAGGTTGGACAGGCGACCCTACTCCTTGTCACGTATAAACGAGGAATCGAAACCACCTTACATGACTCAATGACCGGCATTATGATGCAACGAGCACGCGTTAACCATTCGCATTCGCCCGCCAAGCCCCCCCCCCCCCCACACACACACACACCTGATCAGATAGTTTAAAACATAGATAATAAAATTGGAATATGTTAAAATATAAATCGGTAGATGAGCATTGTAGCCTTAATTGTCAATGTTACTGTTATTAAGATAATAAACAAAGTGTTGATCATCCATTAAATCACTAAATGGCCGAACCATTCTAATCTACTTAAAATCTGTGTCACCCGATGGCATCGAGAGTTGATTTGATTATGGTCTTGTCATGATAATAATTGTGTAATTAATAATTTGTATAACATTTAAGGTCCAAGGACCTGCAAATATATAGATTTAGCTTTTGCATAATGCCTGTTTAACTAGATATAAGGATGAACATATAGAAATTCGTCTATTTAAAGCAACATCCAAACCTTCATAAAATCTGGTAACTTGTCGGTGGATGGGGGTCAATGTCCGTGTAATAAATAACAACGAATTAATATAATATTACTTTACAGGAATGGATGGAAGTTGGAGTGAGTGGTCATCGGTCAGCAACTGCTCTGTTACATGTGGTGGAGGAACTAAACTCAAGACCAGACAGTGTAACAATCCAACATCGATAAATGAAGGGGCTAGTTGCACCGGCCCGTCTTACAAGAACCAGGTGTGCAATACTTCTACTTGCACGGGTTTGTATTTATAAATATTTTTTTTGATTTACAAATTGACTGGCGGGGTTTCGATTCCACGGTTGTACGTGACAGGGTGTAGGGTCGCCCGTCCCTACGCACAAGTGAATTACCTAGTTTGTGTCTAGTGGACGTTAACCACCCACCCACCCCCTCTCGCTCTCCCCCTCTCTCTCTCTCCCTCTCACTCTCTCTCTCTCTCATTTTAAAACAATTGTAGGCTACAAAACTACTTTTTTATATAGACATTAGATATGAAGTTTAGATATTTTTTTTTTTTTATTTTTTTTTTTTTTTTTGGGGGGGGGGGGGTCTTATTAATTATTTGAAAATAGTATAATTTATACTTGAATCATATGGTAATATATAAAATAGTAACAAAGAGTTTTGTTTAATGGGGCTTTGGGTTTTTTTTTTGTTCTTGGGGTTTTAATTTGGGGCGTCATCTAATTGCTTATATTGCCTTACAATAAAATAAACGGGTGGGTCGCAGCTATATTTCCCATGCAATGAAAAGGAATTAATGAGAATTATTTTTGTAAATGATAGTATGTTTAAATTATATAACCCGGGCCATTGGCAATATTATCATTATTCCAAATATATCTATATGTTGCAATAGATCTCACAACGTAGCTCTAATCAATGTTTGTTAATGTCGTGATATTAACTTAGGAGAGGGTGACGGCTGTCCTAAGTTAAAATTGATTTTAGTTAAAATTGTCCCTAAAATAGTTTTGTGAAGCATCACTATTTTAAGTTAAAATACAATTTTAACTTATAATATTATTTTAGTGAATTTTACGGAAGGCCATTAGGGTCAATCAAATGAAAGAAAAATCTGATTATCTTGTAATTACAAGATAGGCTATCTTGTAGTTACAAGATAGTTATACAGAATGGTTATCTTGTAATTACAAGATAGGCTAGATTGTAATAACAAGATACCCAAAATATTTTATTTTTTTTCATTTGATTGACCCTAATAGTATTCCGTAGGATTTTATCTAAAATGCTTAAAATCGTTTTGGGAAACGCATCTAACTTAAAGATACATTATGGGAGATATTTATAGAGAGTTGGCCATTCTTGCTATAACAGTTCAAAAGTAGATGATGAAAGAAGAGTATATTGAAAAATTCAGTCAAATTACTTTATTCTGAACATAGTTATCATCGTTGTAATATTTGCCTAGAAATGGTAGCGAAATGTGTCTTCACCTTCGCCGAACGTTTGATTGACAGGCGTTAACTCCACCTACATATCTCGATTATCAAGTAAAGTTTTCAATGGCATACGGAAACGCTTTACAGCGGCCTCGCTAAGTACACTCTATCATTTAGCCTCGATCTAACTGACGTATTTTCATCAGGTTGCCCCTTATCTGATTTAATCAATTAGTGAAATCCTATTTAAATTCGAGCTGTATCCGAGCTATCCGTGGGTCTACAGAGTTGATTTTGGTCTTGTTGTTTAAATAAAGATCTAATTTATAATTTCTATAACATTTGAAGCCTAAATTAAGACTTGCAATAATCAAATTTAGCTCTTGCATAATGCATGTTTAAGTTATGATGGAATTTTAGTTTAAGACGATTTTAAGGAGATTTAAGTTTTTGTGAAACAGGGCCCTGGATAATAAAATCTAGTTACGCCATGAATAATCTAGACAATAAAATAATGTTACTCTAGATATATAATGGCCTGCTATATATATATACAAGTGTATAGGTAAATCAGTTACGGGTTATTGTCTGATGTCAATGTATCATGATATATATTTACAGGCACGTATGTACCATGGATTGTCTCAGGTGTTGCAATATTGGTCATCCTTGTAATCGCAATAATATGGTAAGCTAAACAAACATTATGATTAAAAAAAAGTTATAAAACATTACAAAACTTATAAAACATTATAAAATACTATCATTATTTCAATTTCAATTGGCAGGTTTATCCGATTAATTCGAACTCGAATCAATAAAGCCAGCCTTTATGATACCCCAACACGACAGTCTACTGCCATTTTTCACAACCAAGAGTATACTGAATTACAACCCCGGGTAATTGACGATGATCATGTGTGCTCACATTACCTCGCTCTGGTAAACACAACCAATGAATATGCACCATTCAACGCAGGGACCAGGGATGACGTACATTATAAGGCATTACAACCACCACCAGAGAGTGATAATAATCCGGTTTCCTTGTCAAACTATGTTAATATAAGCAATCAACATGTTATATCTGATGGCATTTATATTAACCCAGTGCATGAACGGATTTATTAATCCAGACCTCGTGCATCTAAATAATATTCATCCCTTACCACTAAGACTGGGCCCTGTTTCTCGAAATCTTAATCCAAGTTTTAGTAGATACTTCAATTGTTAAGCCCTAAAATGAATCTAATATTATCCAATCAAATTACTAAAATTTGGATTTTATCTTAGTTAAGATTTCGTGAAACAGGCCCCACGATCCGTATTCAAAGGAAGTCTTTAATCGAAGTTAGTTTAGTGGTATTCAAAGGCAAATTTAGGTGAGAAAAATCCACTTTATTTTAAGTAACCCTATGGGAGTTGCCATAAAGTTAGGCGTGATTATAATAACTTCTTTCGGCTGGAGTATACAACGTAGTACTAGTGGCAGACCCGCAAGGTTGATTTTTAGAGTGTCAGGTCTGCAGCGTTGATGTAATGCCATCATTATGTATACGGTTATTGCCACCGCGATGTTCAAGGATATCCCTTTTCCAATCATTTATCATGTTCGTAATCATGTTTTCCACGACTGATACATAATACAGTTTGGTGTGTTTTAACTACATTTGTAAAACTTGACACTGTGATGGCATTTCATTGTAGATGTCATCAAATATTTATGCTACTTTTCAACTCATTCCCTTATACATGGGGATCACGTGGCTAAGTGGGTAAGACGCTGGCTCGCTAGCCTGGAGGTCGGGTGTTCGATCCCTGCATTGGCCGAGAAAGTTCATCCAGATTTTCCGGCGTGGTTCTCCCTTGTCAGTGATGCAGGACGGAGGGGCTGACAGGGAAAGCTGTCTAGTCGTTCGTTCGGATGGGACGAAAAACCGAGATCCCGTGTACACATTGGCGTGCACGTAAAAGATCCATTGACAGTTGGAATTCGATATAAGAGTAGGCCGTAGTGCCGCTGTCCGGGCAAAATTTCCCTCATAGCACACTGTATGGCGTATGCCCGTCTTCATTAGCCCAGGTTAGGAGCAGAACAGTAAGACATATATTAGTTGAAGTTAGCTGCTGATCGGATGTATAATTTACAAATATATAGAGAATCTCCTACCAGTCTTTTTTGATATTTTTTTATATCAAAAAAGACGAGTAGGAGATTTTATTTATCACCCAATCCTTTCTTACATGCACAAATAAATAAATATAATTCTTTGCTATAGACTTTACTTTTACCGAACCAGATTACATAACGGCGTAGTGATACATCATTTTTTGATAGCAATTCAGCCATTGCAAAGTCCTTTATATTGACCGAGTGTTTCCATCAAGGTCAATTAAATAAAAATAATTCATTTTTAATAAAAAAAAAAAGAAGTTACTTTTAATAAAAAAAAAATGAACTGTTCTTTGAGAATACAAAAAAAATAGTTCCTTTTTAACTGACCAATCTCCTAAGGAGATATCGCAGTAGATTATGAAATATATCACACAAGCGATATCTACTGTAGAATGTATTATTGGGTGATAAATGATGATGTCTGCTGACTGAAGTGTGCTACCAATGTTTTACAGTTGTTCTTTTATTACTTATTGCGTTTTAATTGGTAGTATTTATTCAGGTAGAAAATAACGCCAGGTGTATCTTTCGTCCGAATTTAGTACACATAATGTGCAGTCAATGCCAGATCTTTGAGATTCTAAAGTGACAGAATTTCTATGAATTACACAAAATATAGATTGATAACATCACAGTGAATGATTTGTTCAGTCTGACTTAAAAGCCAAAAGTTCTTGTGTTATTGGTAAGAAGATGTTGTTTTCTATAAGTTTACAATATCCGACATTATATACTAAACAGCAAAATAAAACGTCAGTACGATTTCAAAATCAGAGAGGCACTTTAATCAAATCATTCTAGAAAACGACTTAATAAATGGATAAAAGCAATTTTTTGTGAGCAGTATGTTGACACAATAGTGATTAATTCATCACAATTCCAAGACATTACGAGAAGGTTTAGAGTCTGTGCACAGTCTATACATCAGTACCTGCGTGTCCACTGCGAGTGTCGGTAACAGCAGTTATTAAGTCTCCTCTGAATTTCACCCCAAAGATGTTCAGTCGGGTTTACGTCCGGGCTAACGGTTGACCAGTGCATAACGTTGACACCGTTCTGCTGTAGAAAGTCACGAGTAACTCTGGCGGTGTGGGCACAGGCGTTATCATGCTGGGAAACGGTGGTATGACGTGCGAAATGTGGTATGACGTGGGGTCTGAGAGCTTGATTGATGTAGAGCAATGCTGTGATGCCGCCTCCTCTCCCTGGACCAAGATTTTGGAACACCACAGGACCCACTCTCTGGTTCAGACCGATTCGACCCCAAACCATAATGCTTGGACCTCCCCATGAGTCTCGTTCCATGACACATTGGTCAGAATAACGCTGGCCACGTCGACGCCAAATTCTGGTCCTGCCATCTGCAGTTGATACGCCTGGTTTCTCTGAGCTGTCGTAAATCGTTGCATGCTGCTGACATTGTAGTGTGAATGATTCGACCAGGTATGGGGGTGCAATTTATAGGGCTGGTCCCGGTTAACAGTACGTGCGGCATGAGTTACATGAAAATCATGGAGAACACATTATCATCTCAGAAGACAGGTTGCGTTTTTGAGAACATTGCATGGGTTCAATTCTGTGTTTGGGAAGGAGCCTTATTGCTCAGGTCAAGTTGGAGATGTGATCCCAAGTATATAATAAAAACATTTGGCAAGTTTTATGCAATGCGCCTATTCAGAGTAACATACCAACCTGATGTTTCTTTTGCTGCTTAGTATACTTACTATTCGATATCTGCAATTGAAATTTATTAAATCTATCAGAAGAATTCCTGCAATGGATGAGTACTATTATTTATATTCAGAATATTTCCATGTGTTACAATATAATATATCGACAAACATTTTCCTAGCAGTGAAATATTGTGTATTAAATGCTAGCTATATTGGATATACGAGTATTACTATATTATTTTTTATTTTTTATATGTTAGCTGGTTATAGTATTATTATATCTAAATATATTTCTATGTTATTGTATGTAGTTGGTATAGTATTACATCTAGATATTATATTATAATTGTGTGTATAAATTGTTAGCTGATTGTGCTATTATATGTATATTACTATATTATTGTTTTTGTGTGCTAGCTGGTAATAGTATTATTATATACATGTATAATATATGTGTGTGTTATTGTGTGTAGTTGGTTACATCTAAATATATTATTGTTATTATATCTAGGTGTATTAATATGTTATCGTTAATATTTCTGAGTTTGTTGTACTATTCTATCTAGAGCTCCCCAGAAGCAATTTTGAGGGGAAAAAGTGGGGTTTTTTTTACACGTAAAGCCCCAAACAACTTCACCATGCATCAACAAAGTCCACATAACCATGATAAAAGGAGCATATTTTTGCTGTGTATGTAGTTATTTATGTACATGTAGTTGTTTATTGCAAGTTATTAAAACATAAATGGATGATCAGGTTTTGAGTGGTGAGGGTGTGGGTGAATTTTCATAGTTTTAGTATCCGTATAATATATATAAAAAACATGAAATGGGGTTTAATGTCCCACTGTTCTGCTTCGACTGTTCCATATAAAAGAGACGCGGGGTATGAATATATTAAACATGGTCTATTTTGTGGCTTCGGTCAATCTCCTTTTAAAAAGCGCCGCTATCGAAAAACAGCACTAAATCTCCTCTAAACTACAATTGCCGACATATTTCTTTTTGGCAAGAATAGGCATTGCGATTGGTGGGGAGTGGGTGGGGTGGAGTAACATAAATGGAGAGTGTTTGATTTGTTTATTCTAGCGGCTAATCATGCAATCACCCAACTAAGCCATTTCTTTTAGGACATGCTGTTGGTCTAACACCCTGAAAAAAACCGCGAAAGATATATCCACAACAGTAGAGATCATGAATACATAACACTTGATTGGAGAATATGTACAACCAATCACAAACCTTGTACTGATTGCATGAATCATGATCGGCTTAAGTTCGGTAAATATTTTATTGAGTGCGACATCCGGATGCCGATCTGTGTGGGAGGTTTGCCTTATGGTGAGTTCATCAGTGACTTTGAGCCCTGATTTGCACTTTATTATACGTTTGCGCAAAGCAAAACATCCCACTGTAAAAGTTCGCTACACACTCCCAGTTAGTCTCAAATATAACATTACTTCTGTTTACCCGACAGACCCTATTACCCAAAATCGCCGACCCTATAACTCGGTCTTGGCGTGATTTTCTCTAGATAAAATTCCAACCTTGAAATTCGGGTATTATTTCCTTAAGCAATGCTAGGAAACAGATTACACAAACCGCCCGAAAAAAAATACTGATATAAAAAAGATTTTCACGATAGATAGACCGACCGACCCTATTTCAAGGATGTTTTCTTAGCCAGATTGTGGAGCCGCAAGGGATCGGTGATTAACCCGTTTTCTCGCTAACTATATGAGATCCCGACATTGATCCCCTTGTTTTGAAAGTCAAACTAATTTTCTTTGAAATGAATATCGACGTAGAGGTTTAAATCGTTTTAATTATATAAATGAAAACAAATAAATATAGATTATAGATAATTATTCCAATATGTGCAGGGGGCCACGGTGACTCAGTTTTAAAGGCGCTAACTTACTATCTCTTGGTTGTTGCCCCTTGTCTGTGGTGCAGGACAGGGGTCCTGGCAATGAACAACGTCTAGTCGTGCAGAAAACCGAGGTCCTGAGTACACGTTGGTACGCACCAAAAAGAACCATTTTCATAGTACGCTTCATGGCGTATGCCCGGTTTGTGCGGAAGAGTAGGGCGTTAAACTCACTTTCATTCCCAAAACTGGACGGACGTAATATTATCGCAGAATAAATCCAACATTTTGAAAAGATCATTTCACTAGCGCCGTACGTGATATGATATAGTTCTAGGGTAACAGGAACGCCCGGGGTAAGGAACGGTACTTAAATCAAGGGGTCATTAAGTAAAAAAAAGCTGTACAAACCGTATATGTATCACATACAAGTCGCAGTAGATCTGTCGTAGCTACTTTTGTCATACTCTCAGTATGAACCTGTAATATGAAACAGCATGCATAATGAATAATGTATACGATACTCTGACATTTAATTAATATAATATTTGCTCTTTCGCGTATACTCGCCGCAATATAAAGTTCTTCCATCGTAACTAGTAGTAAGCACAGGAGAACCACACCACAAATAAGTAAACGTCCACCATACCACCACATATTAAGTATTAATACAGCACTACAATTTCCGGCATTATAGTCCCCTCTCTGTCAAAAACCCAACGCGAACACAAAATATCGGAATAAATATTTGTTAGTCCAGAGGTAAGGAATTTAAAACAAAATAAAAGGAAAAACGAATTGAAAAACATTTAAGGTATTTTACTTACACCATTTAAGAGGATCCATGGCACATAGTATTGTTTTGGTGTTAAAGATTTGGTCTTATTAGCGGCCTCATGTTCTAGCATAGTACCTTCATCTCCTTTAGCACACGTCATTATCTGATCTATGTTAATAGTCTGGTTCAATGCACACTGTAATATAATCAGACTTGTAGTGTACTAATATTAAAAATCAATCTTAATAGAAATGAAAATGAAATGAAATGGGGTTTAACGTCCCACTGTTCTGCTCCTAAACTGGGCTAATGAAGACGGGCATACGCCATACAGTGTGCTATGAGGGGAATTTTGCCCGGGCAGCGGCACTATCCCCTACTCTTATATCGAATTCCAACTGCCAAAGGATCTTTTACGTGCATTCCAATGTATACACTTAGCCACGTGATCCCCCCCAATCTTCATAGATCCTAACTAGTGGTTGAAAGACTAAATCATTTTACTGCATTCGGTAAAATTTAGTAACGGCAGCAGTGGCACTCTGGTGGGGGGGGGGGGGTCTTTGTCTCTTTCGTAACACATTTACCATATTGTTGAAAGTGTTATTGTGCCTATACCACCACATAAATTGGATTTCATTGACCGGTAATATTTTTCCAGTATTTTCTAATCCACATTCATGTTTACCAATTACTTATCACCCACTTTTTTTAAGTCGGAAGGAATTGGGGGCGTGAGAGTGATAATCTTCTTAATCCTAACCCCATGAATATCATGCATTCAGTATTGTTCCAGTAGGAGGTAAAGGTGTTCTGTCTTTACAATACATTCGTATTTACTTATAAGTTATATCTAAATGAAGCTATAACATGTCTGACAGTGACAAAGAAAATATTGCGTCGAATCTAATTTCCTTCATTTGCTAAACGAATAAAAGAAAACAAAGCATCCGAAATCAAACTAGAAATAGATGTTGTTTTACTTACTGCTCTAGCGGCTTGTTCAGGACCACGGGTAATATTTTGTTCAACACAATAAATGTAGGGAAAATGTGCATCAAAATCTTTCATATACTTTATTGCACACGCCTAAAAAGGAAAAAGTTCTGCTTTATATAGCACGGGACTGAAAAAAAGCATCAATTACAAAACAAAACGTTTTAGGTTTAGCATGAAACAGCCTCAAAATAATATGCATTTACCGAAAAACAACCATTGTTGATTTTTAAAGCACATAACTACAAAATAACAATTGTTATCTTTACATAGTTTTCGACGGAAAAACAACAATTATTACAAAACAACAATTCGTTAAATAATACTAAACAGGCTAATAAAAATAAATATTACAAAACAACAGTTTTAGCTTTATATAGCATGCGACTTGATAATAGAAATTATCACATAACAAAAATTGTTAGCTTTATATAGCAAGCGATTGGATTACAACAATTTTAGCTACCTAATTTATACCGCGGGCACGCAAGAATTATTGAAAAAACAACAAACAGCACATAACTCGGTAAAGCAAAATAAAAAAAAACGACACCCTCTGCCATCGGAGACTTTGTTGGTTTCGTTGAATTGTTTATGTTGATTTTTCCCCCGTTTTTGACAGTCTGCCTTTGTTGAAAATGTTACGTTAATAGATAAAGCCACGGTTGGAACATAGCCGATTGTGTTTCCTTACTTTAAACGAATTTGGCTCTAGTTTTTGAGCAAACATTTAAACGGATAATGCTAGCCACTAATACATATATATGTGCGCGTTAGATCATAAGAGTTGTCAAATGGCGTCGTTTCGATTCCCCGCTTGTACGTGGCAGGGAGTAGGTTCACCTGTCCAACCTCGTGGGTTTCTCCGGGTCCTCTGATTTCCTCCCACAGCTAAAGAGCCCTACTCGAATTATTAAATGAAATTGTACCATGATCAGGTTAACCCAATTTCGATCATTTTTTATATCTAAATCAAAGAGGTTAAACTCGTCTATGACCTAACCTCTATAACGTTACCGTAGCATTCATTAGCACCATGTTGACATCGAAATGTATAACTTCCATTTGTCTTTTTTTCCTTAAAAACAAAAAAATAGAAATTGAATACAGGAAATAAATAGACCATAACAAACATAGTGATAAAATTGAATTTTAAAAAACTGTTTTTGAACTGCTTCATTGCTGAATGACTGAAATATTTGGTTCTCGAAACCAAGAGTCATAGACCATAGTCATAGACCAAGAGTCGGGATAATTGAGACTAAATAGTTAACGAATAACGCGATTAAGCGCAAAAAAAAACCGAATGAAAAATGACAGTCCGAAACGTTTGTTAAATTTTACCCCGATTCTCGCTCCAAGAAATATGCCGAATTATTTCGGTCAGCATTTAAGATTCCCCAATGGTAACGATTCGCCAATCCCACCAGGGTGAACGTTCTCTTAGATTTCCAAAAGTGAGGGTTGCGTCATTTGAATTTTCTATGACTACTTAAAGTCAAACTCGTAATATCACCCGCGGTTGTCGTTCAAAATGTTCGGATGACCCATCCCCTTCGAAACACCTATTGTACTTTCATGTGACATTTGGTTTTGGTCATATTGATCAATGTTGTCTAAATCACCCATAGCTTATTTGAATATAATGTTAGCTCTCCGTACTTACCGAAGCATTGCCATATGGTACCAGCGTAATGGAGAGAATTTCTTTCACCTTTTGGTAAGCTGGCCAGAGTTGATTGATAATAAAGTGTCTACAATATGGACATAGAGATTCATAATAAAGATCTACTTCCACTTTAGGGGCTGCTACAGGGTCTGCTGCTAAAGACTTGGCGTCCAATGTAGCAGCCAAAGCGCCCAAGACAGTGAAGATTAAGACTGTCTTCATTTCAGTGCCTATAAAAATGAGTCACTTAACTTTCTCACAGAAGATTATCTATATCGGATATCTTTGTGTGCCAAAAAACTGTGTCATTTCTTATCATGAACTATTGCATGTGATGTACTTATGGACGACAGCATGTTAGAATTTGGGGTCTAATATACTGCCATAGTTATTGAGCTTAAATCGCCACCCACAATGAAAATTCCAAATCTTGAGTAATAAGATTGTAACCACTCTATCTCATCAAAGAAATCAACATCGTATGATTTATAGAATTCCGATCGTTCGTGTGGTATGTACATACGACAACTAAATAGGTCTTGTTCGCCATGATTAGTATTTAATATCTTGATGATTGTTAATCCATGTTCACAAATTTCAACTATCTTTACACGATTTAAATGTTCTTTTATAAATATTACAATCCCACCGCTTCTTTTGCACTTATTTCTAGCCACAACAGCTTTATTATACCCGTTTAATTTAGCATTGGCACTGTATTTACCAGTATAAAGTAAGATTAGTATATCATACTTAATTAAAAAGTTAGTAAAATTGGTATCGTTTAATTTAGAGCATAGACCACTATTTATATTCCATGAGATAATTGAAAGCTGTTCTTCCTGTCTGCCCTATTGTTCGACATATAAACTATCATTCACATACCGCTTATCTCAAATGAAATACACTTTATTCTTTTTCTCCTTTTCGCGTTTACACGGGCATTAGGTCTTTCCGTTTTAATTCCTGTGGGGAATTGTTGGCCTATGCCACAATCGGTGCCTTTCAAAAGTACGCTCTTATTTCTTACTTCAGAATAGAAGTTAAACTTACAACTATGTTCCTATCATTTCTCTTGCTTTTTCCATTAGAGTTTAATCATACAAGTCGGGTTAATAAAGATTTTAAAAAATACATTTCGTTCAGTTAATTTCCGTTCTGAAGCTGTTTTTTCGTATTAAGAGCTAGCAACAGCCCCACTTAGGCGGCAACTAACCACAGGGTTTTACGATTAAATAAAAGTAAATTTCACACAGCCTTGCAGTGTCGGTAAGTTGTCGTGAGAGTGAGTTTAAAAATACATGAGCTGCAATCTGATTTAAACACAGATCCTATTTCGTTTATTTTTATTTTTTTTATTTTTTTTTTTTTTTCATAGTTCAAAATTTCGTTTTACTTGTCTTTACTACACTAGGATCTGGAAGAGTTGTTATCATTGACGTGTTCTGGATGCTGTGAGCGATAAGCCAATTAAACAGTGGGTTACGGTGATTTCTTGGCGTGCTATGCACGGAACTATGGCTAAACCACTAGAAACGCCAACGCTGATTGATTAATCAATGTCTGACGTCATAGGGTCAAAAGCTGCTCGTACGACCCCTGATACGACCTTTGATTACAACTTGTCAGATATTCATGTAGTGTAGGCCATCGAAAGTATAAAAAAAACGAAACTAAGTATTTTAATCAGATTGCATGAGCCGACTCTGGACCGAGAATCGTTACATCATTGGTTAAAATCAGTTAAATTAAAAATAAAATCGCCGCATTTAGCCGATTTTTTAATCAAGTTCGTAACAACGTATTTCTAAATGTCCAACGCGTAAAGAAGATATTTTTTTTTCATGGCTTTGTTGATAAATAAGCGAAGAATATTGTCACGTGAATGTCTATTGTGGGCGAATGCTTGCTGCCTGCATCGCACAAGCGATCCTGTGACTGAATAATTTTCATTCGAGAATTTGTGATTAAAGGTGCATCATGTTGAAAAGTAAGTTCAGTTATTATTAGCACACACATTTGAGACTTTGTACTACCCTATCATGGGGTATACAAAATAGTAACCGACTCAATTTGATTAAAATACAGATCCTATTTCGTTTCGTTTTTTATAGTTCAAAATTTCGTTTTACTTGTCTTTACTACACTAGGATCTGGAAGAGTTGTTATATTACCGGTGTTCTGGTTGAAGTGAGGGATTAGCCAATGAACCGGTCTGTTAAGGCATGTTCTTGGCGAGCGATGCACGGAACTGTGGTTAAACCACTAGAAACATCAACGATGATGATCAAAAGGCGCTCAAAGGACCAATGACGCGACCTTCCAGTACAACCGGTCAGATCTTCGTGTAGTGTAGGATTTCGAAAGTATATAAAAAAACGAAACGAAATATAGATCTGTATTTTAATCAGATTGTAACCGATTTAAGTAACTCACGCACAACGCACTTGTATCAACATATTGACGGTTACGACCAAAAGCTATGACTCATCGCAGATTTCAACATATGTCACAGAAAGTTATAAGGGGAAGGGTGAGGTTAGCCCTAACCATAAACTCGTCAACAATTACGTGCCCTAACCCTAATTACTTTTCGTGACCTATGACGAAATAGCCTTAGCTTTTAGTCCTAACCGGGTTTTGATTGGGACAGTGGAGTTCAACGAAAATATAAAATTCGAAACTAGATGTAATCTAAATATACTGAGCTTCCTCGATCAATCTTACTCTTGCTAAAACAAAATAATATAACAAACAAAACCATCTGTACAAATGAAAATATAAAAGTTGTTTATTTCAAAATTACCACGGAGTGTATAATATTAGTCTTTGTGGCATAGCAGATAAATGTCACAATAATAATGTCAAAATAAAAAAACCCAAAGGTTTTCCACAATGACAAACACCTTTCGCACGTGTATAACAAAACAGAAATAAATACATTTGTACACGGAGGGTATAATATTAGTCTTTGTGGCATAACACATAAAAGTTATTCAAAAATAATAATGTCAAAATAAAAAAAAAATAAAAGTTGGCCACAATGACAAACACCTTTCGCACGTGTATAACAAAACAGGAATACATACATTTGAACACGGAGGGTATAAAATTAGTCTTTGTGGCATAACGCATAATAGTAATATACATAAATCATAATGTCAAAATGAAAATTGAAAGATGGCAACAATCGTTTGCGGAATATAATAAAGTCAAATTCAAAAGTAAAACAATGCAACAAGATTCATACATTTCGCACGTGTATTACTAAAACAACTGTCGTTTGCGGATTAGAAAAAATTTATATAATATAATGAATGTAGCTATTTTTTTAATTAGATTTACTAAAATTAAGCTGTATTCTTGATGTATGTAGCCAAATATACGCTGTCTCAAACATGAAACCTATCTTTAAATATATTAAAAGAAATATGAAGCAATGGTATACTATAAACAATATATCAAATGAAGCATAATTATAAAGCATTACAATAAAATAAAACATATAAGATGATTTTTATTCATGAAAATGGAAAAACACGTCGCTGAAACAAACAGCTTATATTTGGATTAAAGCATTTTTATATTTCTCATTTTTCACCCTTCCTTGTGTTTTGTATGGTAATTTTGGTTACTTCTTTTTAGTCTATAAAGGAATAAGGATTCTTGAATTGAATTTTCTGCCATGTTTTAATGAATAGTCGTGATTTTGAGACAGAAAAATCAGGATGTAAACAGACATGATATCACAGCCACGGTCTAGCCCTTCAATGTTTTTTATCAGACGATCAGTTGGTTATAAAAAAATTAAAATTTTCTCAAAATATGTCACATGCCAAGAAATACTAGATCTTATTGGTTGCTGGGGGGTGGGGGGTGTATGTTCACTATACTTTACTTTGGCTTTGGTATGCTGGTGGGGACTCTTCTCTTTTCTGGTCCATATAAACACCAATAAATGACCCATCTTCGTTAAACTTTCCAATATCTTCCCCATCAACGTACTAATTCAAGCTCTCGTCATCTTCGAAGTTGACCGGATCGTCTGTTAACTGTAACGGTTGTCTCTTGGGTTCAACGCCATTGATCTCTCTAATAATAATAATAATAATAATATGAAATCAAATGAAATGGGGTTTAACGTCCTACTGCGACTATAATAATAATAATAATACTCTATTTACTTATATGTGATGTCAAGTAGCAAAGGATCATAATATTTCAACATAATTATAAGGTAGCTGATATGATAACTTCATGCAATAGGCCAACTTTTAAAAAATCAATACAATAAAAGAGAGTTATTATATGTACTTACGCCTGGGGTAAATCGGGAAATTCATAATATTTGAGTTCCTCTTTGGGTGCATCCCACAAACCCTTTTCTTTCTCGTCAACTGAAAATTATGAATGTATATGAAAATATATACGACGCCGATCAAACGTATGCGTAGACGAAACACGTATAATCTCTGGGTTGAACCATACCAGTGATACTGTGAAGATAATAAGCCATGATGCAATTTGTCACTTAATCTAAATCGGAACTACTTACGCACACCAAATAGTTCCTTATATGGGTATAATCTGGCGGAATAGCCTGATAACAGTCAACAAGTATTTTGTTTTCTACTACAAGTAACACCACTGCCAGAATCTTAAAATAGCAGATACAGTTTCACAGGCACTCTATGAAAAGACTAAATTTATCCTACAAACGTTAGTCATTTTGAGACTATGGTAAAGTTTGTTTCTGTGGTTACGTTTGCACTACTCTGGTAAAGAATCTGCCCGGACTTTGGCACAGAGAAACGATCACGAGAATGCTTACCGTTATAATCGGTTTTACCACAACAACAACAGTAAATAATAATAGCTATGATAGCCAGAATTACTAAAGCAAGCAGTATATACAATAGGTTCCACCAATTAAACGGACTGCTGCCTCGGACAAATTCTTCCTTATCTTTTTCTAAAAAGAAAATAAAACAGAAATATAAATAATTACATAAAGAAAAAGAAATTTATTGTTATGGTCAATGTTTAGGAAATAATACTCATTAATGGTATTACTAATAATTATCACAGTTATTGACTAATAATGATCACGGTTATTGACTAATAATCATCACTGTTATTGACTAATAATCATCACCGTTATTGACTAATACCAAACATTATCATTGAATAATACAAAACATGGTCATTGAAAACATTGTCATTGAATAATACAAAACATTGTGATGGAATAAAACAACACACTGTCATAAGATAATACAAAACATTGTCATTGAATATTAATTAATGAATTAAACTCATCGTTATTATTTGAATAATAATCGTATTTATCATCGAACAATAATTGTCATTTTAATGGGAAAAGAATGACCCTTGTTATCGAATAATAATTATTATTTTGATTATTAGATAATAATTATTATTTTGATCATTAGATAATAATTATTATTTTGATTATTAGATAATAATTATTATTTTGATCATTAGATAATAATTATTATTTTGATTATTAGATAATAATTATTATTTTGATCATTAGATAATAATTATTATTTTGATTATTAGATAACAATAATTTTAGTTGAAATTATTTAATATACTCTGCGAAATGATACATAATGTTGCCAGAGCATCAACAACATATAGAACAAACGGTACATATATACAACACAGCAAGAAAGAGAAATATACCTTGAACAAGCGTTGAGATATTCTTCCTTTCATGTTGATGAAATATTTCTCTGGTGTAAACACCGAAAATTTTTCCGTATTCCTCATCCGTTAAACTCTCTGTGTTTATATAAGCTGTATTGGCAGTTTCGTTGTAAGTTACAAAAGGCGGTCTGTTCGGGTACGCTTCATCATTGAAATACCACTTGTCATAAAGGGTCCAGGCAGGATCGGACTCGGCTATGAATGTCAAATCTACCATATCGCCTTTCTTTATCACTTGAGTCCCTTCTGGATGTTTAATAATTTCAATAGGCTCTGAAAGGACACCAGTAAAAAAACAATTGCTGGAACATGTATGCTATTGACAGTTATAAAAACATTCAACTGTCGTCGCCTACAAATCCTCCTTATCTACATGTATGAACAAGGGATCTCGGTCTATCGTTCTATTCGGTTGATTATGATGTTGTCTGATAGTTAGCTGTTTAAAGGCAATAACTGCTACCCACTATCCAGACCAAATGCAGAAATATGTCATATAAATTTCTGTTCAAAACGCAAAACAGATCGCCATGAATATGTTGTGAAGCTTGGTGACGTAAAACTATGGCGTACATGTGACTGTCCTATGACTTGAATCAGAGTCTTCTGTAAGGTAAAACTATGTCACACAGCTACATTATTTCATAAATTGACTGGACTATTGAATGTGAACCCATGCTGTACAGTAATTGATTCTTTTAAGATGTAAAACTATGGTGTATAGCTAACTCGACTTCCCTGTCATCAACACCTATAAATTAGAAACCGACCCCCATATGAATTTGCTCCTGGTTCGCCTATATATTGGAAAAAGATACACATATCAATTAAGGACTCACCTATAACGTCCAGACATCCACTACCAAAAGTAAAGCCCTCAGAGTTGGTAACTTTACACTGGTAACATGTGATATCATCTGGTTTTACAAGATCATTTACCCTCAATATCTGACCGTTATCCTCTAACACATATTTCCCACTGTTAACTAGAAATACATAAAAAAAACTCGATCAATTCGAAACCTTTTTTGTATTAAATTAACACAATTTACTACGTCGCGCACATCGTTTTTGTCTTCCCCTGTAAAACAAGACCACTGTCCTAGACCTATTTTAATAAGGTTTTTTTTTTCGACAGGAATACATTAAACCCTTGCACAGAGGTCCAATTAATCTAATTGAAACTGGATTACAATTATATAAGAGTTTGCAACAATCTGGCTTCATCATGCAACTCCTATATATTCATCCTAAGTTTACAATTGTCATTGTGCTTGATAATGATAAGAGGATGCTTGTCGAAACGTCGTGCTTTTAGAATAACCCAGTGATTGTTTCCCATAAAAACTGTGGTCTGTTAAGATAAATTTATGTTTGACGATCGCAAATTTTGTAAAATGCAATCAACTCGGTAGGATCTGTGAAAAGAGAACATGTCATTATCCAGTTCGTCCCAACCCGGATACATCCTTGAACATACAGAAATAATGGATACACATTTTCATGGCAACAAACATAAATCTAATATCTTACATTTAACTTGCGATATTGGGTCGCCATTTTCAAACCATTCTGGGGGTGAATTAGGCCCCTCCCTGATACTCGGACGCGTTTTACACGTCATTGGAGCAGTTCTTTTTTCAACTATGGTCAGTGTCGACAAAGCCTTGACCCATATTGGTCGTGCTGAAATGAAATATATAGATAAGGTATACTGTAAAGAAATCCAATTAGTATTTACATACAAAAGTACAACACATAACAATCATATACGATGCTTCCGGTCTTTAAACTATTCCTCTTCGTGGATTCTTTAATTACGTGAAAAGAAATAGGCCTTATCATCCTGTGTAGCGACTTCTTCATTCTAGGTTACAACTTCCATCTGCATGATGTCCAATTATAAATTCAAAACACGTTGGAAATTTATCGACGAATGTCGTTCAAATAATGTGCTTAACCAGGTGCCCTCGATCCTGAAAGAATTCTAATATCAGACACATTGTAATATCAAGGGTTTTGTAGTTTGAATGTAATTTTGGGTACTGAGAATCAGCAAATAAACTTACATGTAACGTTTAAGAAAGTTGATCTGTCATCACTACCAACTTTATTTGTACCACTACATGTATAGGTTCCTTCATCCGTTTCAACTACCTTATTAATTCTTAAAATTCTGTGTGACTCCTCAATAAATTCGTATCTACCTCTACCATTCGTTGGGATTTCTTGTTGATCTTTATCTTTCCATGTTATTGTTGCCAAGGGACTGGAAAAGAGTAAAGCTTTAAAGGTACATATCTTACTAAAGGATCTACGACTTGTGGCGCGGTTTGGTGTCCGTTCGGCTCTTATGGGTCCGACGCTTTTGATCGGATACTGGGTCAAACTAGGATGGGGGGTGGGACGTCTCCATAATGTACATTGAGGTCATCTTCAGATTAATGAATAGGCTGAATATTTAATTTTTAAGGGGGTTGTCATGTCTAAGATTCGAACTAACTTTTCAAACCATTCCTCGGTGATACTTAAGTACCTGTCTCCTTTTCCCCTAAAAACATAAATCCTCAACAGAAAGAAACATGAATACGTCATGATTCGAAAGGACCTTTTTTTGTAAACCAATGAAAGCGATGAAAAAATTCCAAGTTCTACTCAACTTGGTGTCAAATTGAAGCTTACATTCGGAGGAACATTTATATGTGATTATATGAAATAGATTTCATTTCAGACCTGTTTATATAACGACCTATATTTTTTATTTTTTTTTTGGGGGGGGGGGGATTTTCTGGAATTTTGGCATTATTATTGGCACCACGAAAAAACATCCCGTAATTTTATTAAGAACTAGTTTAGCTATTTGCATGCCAAAAATTATTTAATTCGGATCAGACAAGACTGGGAACTTTTTAGATTTATGACGAAAATTGTTCATTTTTAGGCTGATTTCAAAACTGAATATCTCTCAAACCACAAGAGATTTGTGCCCAAACTATGACTTGAATCACAACTTCAGATGTCTATTTAAAGACCATACCAAATGTATGTGGAACAGAGTTTGAAAAATAAATTAAAATCAATTGCGAACTTCGATGTCTTGTGTGTATAAAGATAATGAATCAAACCCAAATTATTCCCCTTTTATATTAAACGAATTCAACTAATCCAAATTACCCTCACCCCATAAACTGCTATATAAATCTTAATGAATAACTGATAAGGTTGGTACTTACTAGCCACTGAATACACACTCAATATCAACATCATATCCGACCAGAGCTTTCTGGATTTCCTTGTAATAGACAACGTTTGGTTTTCGCTCAGGTATCGCTGTAAGATAAATACACAAATTGAGCTAAGCCTGTTTTACAACACAAGAAGGTTCCGAATTAGTAGTATTCTTATCGAATGTCTTAGTGTCGATCACGCCATACCGATTTTCTCCGCTTCCACACTACAACGAATATGTTCGCATATACAGTTCACATAATGACTAATGGAAAATGTTTTTTCCATCCACCAGTTCAAGGACAATGGGTTTTTTTTTTCATTCTCTCTCATATATTTGCTACGGTTCAAATTATATTTGAAATATGTTTAACGCAGATCAATCACATTTGTATCTGTATAAATACTGTAAGTCAGCTAGTTATTATGAAATGAAGTGATATCTGAAAAGTGTGTAACCAGATCAATCACATGTGTATGTGTTAAATTACAGTAAGTCAGCTAGTTAATATAAAATGTGTAACCAGATCAATCACATTTGTATACGTTCAAATGAAATGGGGTTTAACGGCCTACTGATCAATCACATTTGTATATGTTCAAATGAAATGGGGTTTAACGGCCTACTGTTCTGATTCGAATGGGCTAATAAAGACGGAAATTCCAACTATCAAGGGATCTCTTACGTGCATACCAATGTGTGCACAGCCCTATACGTTGTTCTTTAAGTCAGCTAGGGCATCAATACATAAACAGTATATAGTGTATATAATGTATATTGGATTTACTATAACCCAGGAGCAGTGTTTTGTTTATAACATACAAAGACACTATTATCTTTATTATGAAGGCCGTGTGACCCTTTTCTTTTGGAAGTTGTCACCTAACATCGTTGCATGCCATATCTACTTACGATTTAGTTCTTTAACGTCTAAAATCTTCCCACTGCCTAAATTGATGGAATTCAGTTCACGAATAAAGATGGCACATTTATACTCTTCTCCGGCTAAATCAACTGCTTTCAATGCGTAGGCGAAATGAAGACTTCCTGAAAAATACATAATAACAAAATTGCATGAAATAATCACGTTTCAACAACGTTATTTTCGGATTAATATGGTAAATGAAACATTATAAAGATTATGCAGTAGGTATATTTCGAACGTAACCGCCTTAGTGCAAAAATAACATATCAATCTTAAAGGGACAATAACACTCTTGCTGGCTTGACAGCTCCAGAAAACAAAAAATAGCCTTATTCTAAGTACTAGATGTTTAAGTGTCCTACCTGTTGTGTAAATTATCCATTACATCCTATTTTACTTGTCCAGAGGGTTCAAAAATATTTTTAAATCGAAGTTTCATTTGAAAAGGTTTACGTTAGACATTTCAAACCATTATGTTGAATTTTTCAAAATTTTTAAATAAGGTGTGTTAAGATGAAATTTGTATCATCAATTAATTGAAATATTCTAAAATAGTACAATTTGTTGACCAGAATAAAGATTGGGACATATTATTCAGTTACAACAAGAGTGGTATTGAGCCTTTAACAAATGTTTCATTTTCAATTAGCGGCAGTTATGCCGAATTAATAAATTGATATATGAATTCTAAGATAAATTTATTTAGGTAAATTCACAGAAATATTTGTTTGCTCAAAATAGATTTTATACTAATTCATTTATTTCATAAAATAAAAAGTGTAAGTCGGGAGAACGTTACTTGTATTTCAGTAAGACGAACGTTCGAGTTTCCGATTACGCATGCGTAGGTTATTTTTGTTTTTTATTAAACATACTAATTACTACTGTAACCATTAGACAAATTAGACAATAATCGTGAAGACCCAATATCCTTTTATTGTTTTAAATCAAGACTTCCGTGATACAAGGCGCAATGGTCAGATGGTTCATAAATGTTTATCAAAGTATACCATTTTGCTGTGTCGAATCAAATACATCCGATTACAACAAACCTACTGGTTTGCACACGAACGATAGAATAATTATTGAGTATTATAATATTTACCTCACCATGATTCTGTGCTGCGCCACTGACAAGGAGGAGCATCCCGAGAAATCCACATGAAATTTCTCTGTCCACACCGGGATCTAACACCAACCATCGTGTTACTCACTGAGCCACCGTGACTCCTTATAACGGATTTAAAGTTTGTTTTAACGATACATTAATTCAAATGAGTTGACTTTATAGTATAGCACACCTACCCTCAGCATCTATAGCTATTCTTTTATCTTGTATAACTTCGCCACCATCTTCGTCACCTCTATACCATTTAAACTGTCCAGGTGGATTACGAGAAGGTGTGTCATCGCATGTCAGTTTAACCGGTTCACCTTCCTCGACAGATATTCTCGGAGGCAGATCTTCATTAGTTTCCCAGCTGTTTAAATCTGTAGAGCGAAAAAAAAAGGAAAATCCAATTCTACATATAGTTTTCTCTTTGGAATCAATTCAATTTCAAAGACAAAAAAACACCAAATAAATTCTTTTGTTACCTGTGTGACCTGTCTCTAAAGAGTAGTGGTATCAAGTGTTCTAGGACGTGTAAATACTATGTACATAACATTGCCTTTCATTTCTGTTGGGTAAACGATAACCTAAAGGACACCAGTCCAGTGTGCTTTCATAATATCAACCTGTTTAGACGATCTCGCAGATAACAAATTATAGTTAGCATATAGACGAATTTCGTAGCCCAGTTCAGCTACGGATGACCTAGAGTAAATTTTGTGTTAAGAACGTCCGCTCAGCCAAAAGGCAAATCGGCGTCGCGACACCGAAGAATTTAAATGGAGATCTAACAAACTAAGCATGCATATATAGTATACCCTTCGATAATACTTACAAGCTACCTCGACTGTTATAATGGCTGAAGCCGCTTTTATAATTTTACCCCCAATTCGATTATAAGCGTAACACTGGAAGTCACCCATTTCTCTCGGAGTTAGCGATTTGAATCTAATTTCACCGCTATTACTATCCTCTTCTATATGTTCATTATTTAATATTTTGTCCCCATTCCATTTCCACTCATATCTGAAATATAGAATCACTGGGTTTATTTTTCAAACACATCTAAAATATAGAATAACTGGGGGTTTTTTTCAATCGCACCTGAAATATAGAATCACTGGGTTTATTTTCTAATCGGATAAGAAATATAGAATTACTGGCTTTATTTTCCATGCATATCTGAAAATTAGAATGACTGAGTTTGACATACGATTTGGATGACATTAATTTTAAACCAATATTGAATTAAAAACATTATAACTTACTCAGCCGGAGGGTTAGCGTCTGCTTTACATGCCATTATGACTTCAGCCCCCGCTTGTTCATATTTAGTCTGCGATACAATTGGCTCTTTAATAATTGGGGGAAAATCTCCTGTAATGTTTCAAAATATTACATTAAAATATTGAGGATTCTCATAAAGCACATAACTTTATATATCAGATAGCATCTCATTATAGATGTTAAATATAGTATACGCATTATTAATAATAATATTTCCATTTATAAAGCCCTATATCCACAAAACGTGCTCATGGCGCATAATACACAAGTCTCTGGTAATATAATTTAACCAGTTAGTTTTCAAGTCAGATTTGAATTTATTAAGTGTAGGACTTCTGTGAAGGTCTGATGGTAGTTTATTCCACTTTTTAGATGCAGATTCTTGAAAAGAGCGACCACCGAATGACTTTAACTTCCACTGAAGAACACAGAGTTTTTTTCTGATGAGTGACCGTAACTGTCTAGATGGGATGTAAAATTTTAAGAGATTGCACAGGCACTTCGGAGCACTACCATTCGGACACTGATAGGCAAAAGACAATATCTTGAAATCGACCCTGGCTTGAACAGGCAACCAACGTAGATTTTTCAGTACAGGAGTGATATGAGAGCGTAGATTTGACCAAGTCACAATGCGAGCAGCTGTATTTTGGATGCGTTGAAGACGTTTCATTTGATACTTTGGTATGCCGACAAGTAGACTATTGCAATGGTCAAATCTAGAAAAAATGAGACATCTTACTAGAGCTGCGGCTCGTCTTCAGTGATGAGATTTCGAATGGAACCGATACTTTTGAGGTGAAAATAACACTTTTTGCACAGATCATTAATATAGTTAGTCTTATATAACATATCAATAAAAATAATATTAATATGCTGATTCAAAAGAAAATAGATGGTAAGCTGTTTTTAGATTGATAATTAAACATAACTACTCTATAAATGTTAAATCTGTAAAACACATTATACAATTGTACAGACGTAAACAGGTTAAAAGCACTTATTACATAGTGTGTATATATATTCTATCAGTAAACGGCGTTGAAAAACAATTAGACGTTAATATAGACAGGAATGCGATGTGTATATGTGACCCGATGTGTATTAAACCATAAAACATCCGGTCTGTTTGACGTCACAACAGTTCAGAAGCGCAATGTTTAATCTAGAGCGTTTTAGTTAGTTAAGGTCACGTTTGAAGACACATCTATTTTACGAGAATGAACAAAATAAAGACTCCACATAAAGTACATAACGAACTTTATCCGAAATATTGTTTGCGTTATATTGATTGTTTTGTGTATGTTAATTAAAGATACATTATGGGAGATTTTGAGTTAGCCATTCTTGCTATAACAGTTCAAAAATAGATGATGAAAGAAGAATATATTGAAAATTTCAGTCAAATTACTTTATTCTGAACATAGTTATCACCAGTGTAATTTTTGACTAGAAATGGGATTGAATTCCATCTTCACCTATTCTCGTTTGATTGGCAGGCGTTAACTCCACCTACATAATCTCTGCTGTCTTTTGTCTGCTGTCATCATATCCGAATTTGTGTTTTACCTTTTTTGGATTTTTATAACAATTGGACAAAATGAGTGAGAGGGTAAATTTTCATTCTTTTTTGTATTTTGGGCATGCATTAAATCAATTGAATATAGGACATAATATTATAATACAATTATGATAAATCTATAGGTAGGCCTATATACAGTGGCGTCGTGCCTATTGGGGAAATAAAAATATTTTTATTGATATTATTAAGACAGAAGACCTATCAGTCTGTATTAGTCCTCACACGGTCTCCAGGAATTGTATAATTTGTCATTATCTGTGTTTAGTTTATTGCACTTTAAATAGTTTAGATCTCATTTGTTAAGGCATCGCCCAACAGCGGCCTCGCTTCATACACTCTATCATTTAGACTCGATCCGGGAGTATGACGCCAACGTAACGGTTAATCTCCGCTCACGACGCCATTTAAAATTAAATCAGTCAACGAAATCCCGTTTAAATCCGAGCTGAATCCAAGCCATCCGTGGGTCTACAGAGTTGATTTTGTGCTTGTTGAGTAAATAAAGATCTAATTAATAATTTCTATGATATCTGAAGCCTAAATAAAGACTTGCAATAATCAGATTTAGCTCTTGCATAATGTATGTTTAATTGATTGATAATAAAACATACAAAATGTGTAAGACCAAACAGCTCTTTGTTCTGTCTTCTTCATTCTATAAATCAGACATTTGATTTGATTTGAAAAATTGACAAGAAGAACACTTTGTCTATTAATAGGATTGTAGGATTGTAATTATTACATGTAATTTGTTTTGTGGACAAATAATATGTCTTCATTGACAATTTTACGTCTAGGCCTATATTTAAAGCTGGTGTTGAGGCTGTTCACATTTTTTTAGTTTTATCACACTCGCTTTTCATTGAATACAGCGTCACCGGTGCATGGCAGATATCCTTTTATAAACAAGAGGTTATGGTTCGAAATGAAATGAAATCAAATAGGGTTGGAATATCCATTTTGGGAATGTTAGTCCACATGATAGCGTTACTCCATTTTTCCGAATTTATATTCTGACTATTGGTTAGCATAGATGAAATATAAACTTACTGTCAATGCCATTAGTACCAGCTATTAAACAGGTAATACTAATTAACAGGTACATTTCCATCACTCCTGGTGCATGGGACTGTTTTATACTTCTAGTCTAAATTTAAAACATAACTGATTACATACAGACATCATAAAATATCAATAATATACAGTGATTAAAAATATATTGTGGAAATATTATTTTTCATAGGGAATTAACTCGCGATCCTTCCGTCCCTCAATTATTGATATTAGTCAAAATCTGGCAGGATATCAAAATTCATCATTCTAAACTATAAAATTAAAAAATGTAATCATGTAAAAGGGAGAGATATGATTCGTAGAAACAGGAGAGAAAGGAGACATCAAAAAACAACCAAAACTACTAAATAATTAGTGGATCGGCTCACGTTATATCGGAATAATTCGTACGTAACTAACGTACGAAAATTAATTGGTGGCTAGCTTTTTTTTTCGCACGTATACAGTGAATGGCCATTTTGCTCAGTAATTCCAGCCAGAATTTGGCTATTTTCTAAATTTGCGTTAAAGTTTAAAATATTTGTTTTAGAACTGAAATAAGTTAACTATTAGTCAATCCCAACGCTAAAAACATCAACAGAATTGATTGTGTATATCTGAAATAGACACGACCGACGCACAAAATAGTGTCAAGATGGCACCCTCTATGAACCTATGAACGACGTCAATTCTATGAGTTGTGGATGTTATTTTTGTGAAAAATCATTGGAAGAAGAGAGAACATGTTGGAACTGGACGAATTATATAGTCTTTATGGGTGCAACGGAAACAATGCTGAAGATAAACCTATTGTTTACAATGTAACGTGTTGCGGACCTCATGACCCATTGACGTCAATGTCATGACCTATGATGTGTAGATCACGTGATATGGATATCATGGCTATTGACTATGTCTGAGATACTTCTCCGCAGGTGGCGTGTCTCAGATGTTCAGAATGGGAATAATTATGTCATTTAGTAAATTTCTGAGAAATCTCAATTTCATGTCCATTACACTGCTCGGTGTGTATAGTTTAAGGCATGGGAATGGGTGGTCATATGCACTCCGACATTATTCCATATTTCTTAAGCGCTAGTATAAGTCTTCATCCTCGGGGATGACAAGTAAAGAGTATCACGCAAAACAGCCTACGAAGATGAGTTTGCGAAAAATCCCTCGTACCGGCAATATCACTCCGCTCGGATTGGAAACGTAACCATAGCAATGATATCTTATGTTAGTTGCAAAATGCCCCTAATATATATTTTTTTTAAATTAATTCCATTCGTCTTACTTCGTGTTTTATTGTATTAATATCACGGTGAAAGGGTATTATGTACATGCTATGTAAAGAACACTGAAGGATTGAAGAAATTTGATGAATATTCAGTTTAACAGATTAGTCATTTCTAACTAACTTTTCCCATGGAAAAACAGGAGCGGATCCAGCTACATAAATCTTTTTGTAAATCAACACTTTTTTATGAGAAAAGTTTCTCGGTCGTGTGCTTTATCCTTTATCGTCAGAAGTGGGACAGGATGGGCACTCAAAGCACGAGATAATGATATAGACATTATGTGATATCACAATTAATGCTTTGCATCCATGGATTTGAATCACAATGTCATTGCGGGAGGAAGGAGGGGGAAATACATTGTCTCAGGAACCTGCCAAACCCCCTCCTGCAAATATTCCTGCATCCACACCCGAAAAACCCAAATGTGATATCACAATTAATGCTTTGCATCCATGAAATTGAATCACAATGTCATTGCGGGAGGAGGGGGGATACATTGTCTCAGGAACCTGGCAAACACCCTCCTGCAAAAATTCCTGCATCCGCACCTGAAAAACCCAGCAGTAAAAAACAAATTATGTCCGCCTTTTCTTTTGTTGGATTAAAAGTATTTGGTGGCGTCATTTCCGTTATAAATACATTCATTATGATACTCAAATCCCCAAATATAGTAATTTTATTTTAGATGGTTACGTCAAACAGTGTGAAGCCAATCGCTGCACTCCACAACATCCATCTAGCACGCTGAATGTCGCTGATTGACATCCATGTTTTCCTGCCCTAATAGAATAATACGTTTACATATGCATTACTATCATGACTCGCACTGTGATATAACATTACGGACATATTCCCCTTTTCTTTTTGCTTGAGTTGGTCCCTATTGTTAGTTAATGTTTCATATTACTCGGAAATGGGACAACACAGCGCATTAGACACTTATGGCTAGCCCCTGGATCCATTCATTTGATTTGTATGCGCGTTTGTTGCTTGCGACGTCTGTATATTGTGTTCTGTCCGCAGTTTTTTTGTGTAAGTGTTTATGTGTGATGAGCACTCCCCTGCACTTATTATTAAATTTATTTTTCATATGTAATCATTTGTCCATTCTCACGAGGTAATAACCTTAATGTCCCACCATTTTTGTATAATTTTATCATTTAATTTGATTGATATCCTGGTGGAAAATAATATTGCCGATGGGACTAAATATAACGTGTTGTTTAGAATTGCACACCTGTAGATTAAGCCAATTTTAAAACAAACGAAATGATTGTGTTCACAAAAGCTAGTAAAGAGACTTAGTTCTGAAATAACACCAGCTCCGTATGCTGCAGAGCAGGGCGCCGGGTTAATCGTGGTGAGAGCCTTGATGCCTTGAGCATGTGGAGACCCCAACCTAACACAAGTTACCAGAACTTAGGCAGTATTCCACCTCCTAGTAGCACAAGTTGTAACCAATTATTGCCGCTATAGAGTATACACCTTTCCCGCTGAATAAACCCAAAAAAAAGAAACACTGAATTCTGGGATGTCTACCACAGACGGATTCCTCAGTTCGACTGCGATTTTTTGTGGTGGTGGGATTAAACAAAATAGGACTTGTAATAACATAATAGGACTTGTAATAACATATAGGACTTGTAATAACATAATAATATTCTGTACTAAACTGTCGTTCTCTTATTTTTGTTTTGTCTTTAAGGTAGGGCAGATCAAACCTAATGAATAGTTTATTTGGCCTACCTACATTCTTTCCAACAACTTCTTCTCAGTAGTGCACCTATACAACCAGTGGCGGATCGACAGGGTGGGGGATTGAAGACTTATTCTATGTTTTTTACTGTCGGGTTTTCATTCAAATTATCTTAGCTCCGATTACACCGTCGTGTAAAGAGGTGTATGATTTCATTGCATCTCAATAATGATGTTTATTTCATAAAACGTGGTCTTGAACTTGAAGAATATGCAATGAAACGAAACAATTTTCGTGATATCTATAAATTAATGTTCGACAGCGTGCTTTTAATTCTTTAAACGATTGAAGAATTAATTAAAAATACGCAACATTTAGTAAAAGTTTCACGCTAAAAGTGTGTGTCATTATTTTTCTGCAATTTTTGTACAACCTTAATTGAAACAGAACAATAAAATAGAAGTATGTCGTATAGATATATATGCATACATTATCTTTTAACTGTTGAAATAAAAAAATTCTTGATATTAGTTTCAAGACAATAAAACTTTAGTTATGATTTATACAGATATTTTGCCCTTTGTTAATACCTTCGCCCCCTCTAACTCGTAAAGCTGACTCCGCAACCCAGTACATGCCAGTTAAGGTGTAACGCCCTATTATCTATCAACAGACAAGTACTTTTACATATATACTGTATTTGAAGAAGAGTCAAACTCGTGAACACTAACTTGAAACCCGCGTACTATTACCTATTGAAGTCTCTTTTAAAGTAAACATTCTAAATGAACAAAACACCCACTCATCACTGTATTTAAATAACATGTTAAATTTTTGATAATGCTAAAAATAGAAAATCTCACTGATACATTTCAAAACTTCTGATACGTGTCTCGTTTTATATAACATTCATGTAGATCAAGTAGAATTACGGGTCCGTGGGCGAATATTTCAATCAATTAAAAGAAACGTGATATACTATTATATTTTTAATATTTCACTGAGAAATGGATGAATGAAATGGGGTTTAAAATCTCTTCAACGTGTAATTGTATACGTGATTTTCCGGAGAGCAATGTCCGTCTACTTTTCTTCGAATGTCAACTACCAGGGGTTGCGGTGCCAAGTAATTGGGTATCTTTACAACACAGGAAATACACAACCAAATAGTAAACAGAGGCCAATAAAGAGTATTTGAGTTTGTAGAATAACGGATCCGCATTAATTTCCATTGTTCGTTGGTGTACGACATTTTAAGTTTCGAAGATGAGACGCATAAACGGACTTGTTATAAATATATCGGTTTAGATGGTTTTTTAACTTATTGTATATTGTTTATTATATGTAGATAGAGTTGAAATAGTCTACCTCGTGTTAGTCACGTTCCAAATGGCATGCAGGCAACCAGAAGATAACCATTGGTTTTAATATATATCATAAGCCCAATGTATTCTGTATGAAGATATCGGGTGGTCTAAAAGAAATACGAGTGCACGATTTAAAGTGCAGGAATAATTCATCGTTTCACATGTGCTATAGTATGGACGTTAACATAATATAATGTTAATACTATTTGAGAGATGGACCTACAATTTGGACCGAAGTTGTCAAACATCCATATTGTGCGGCATGTGAAATATGAAAGATAATTCTTTTTGAATTATTCCACTGTAAAGAGTGTACTCGTTTTTTTTCTGGACCACCCGATGTGGGTGTATATTATTATGATTTTCACTGTACTGTATATTGGGCCTGTGATATTCTATAGTGCTATAGTCCAGCTTAAAAAGATTTATGAATACATAACCAGAGACAGTTGAAATCTTGAATACGTAACCACTGATAGGAAAACTAAAAGTACCAGGAAACAAATAACGTTACATCTTTCAAAATAAGTCAAAAGAAAACGATTTTACAATTTACACATTGTAATGAAGCTCAGTTGGAATTAGGCGATGATACATGGATGAGTGTTGTTTTCATATACATCTAAATTTGTTGACGATTAACGTTTATAAGGGTTTCCATCGTAGTAAATATTAATCAGTAGTCTTAGTGTGTATAAACAAGCGGTTACCATGCATCATACGCCTACAT